TCTCTTCAGCCCCAAATCTCTAAGCCTGATAAGCAACCTTCAGCCAAAGTCCTCAGGGTACAAAATCAATGTGTAAAGTCCACTAAGCATCTTACAACACCCCCAATACAGAAAAACAGGAGAGCCAAGATCATCAGAGTGAACTCCCATTCACAATTGCTTCAACAGGAGAATAAATACCTAGGAAGGCCAACTTACAAGGATGTAAGGATCTCTTCCAAGGAGAACTACAAACCACTGCTTCAGTGAATAAAAGAGGACACAAACAAATAGCAGAAACATTTCCCCATGCTCATTGACAAATGAAGATCCACATATTGTGAATGCCCCATACTGGCCCGAACAGCTAATTTATAGATCTTCCATGCCATCCAATTAAGCTACCAACTGAACTTTTTCACAGAATAGAAAAAATCTACTTTAAAGTTCAGCTATGGCACAACCCAAAAGAGCCCGCATAGGCCAAGGACAATCCTAGCCAAAGGAACAAAGCTGGAGGCATCCAACGCTACCTGACCTTCCAAACTATACTACAAGGCCTACAAGTTAACCAAACTGCATGGTAACTGGTACAAAACAGAGAGATTACACCAAATGGAACCAGAAACAGAGGCCTGGAGAATAATACCACACAATCTACAACCACTCTGATCCTTTGACAAACCTGACAAAAACAAGAATGAGGAAAGGACTTGCCTCTTTGAATAAATGTTGCGTGGGAAACCTGGTCCTTAGCCCATAGGTAGAAAAGCTGAAACTGGATCCCCTTCCTTACCACCTTACCCGAATTAATTGCAGGTGGATTAGACTTAAATGTTTAGACCTAAACCATAAAAAAACCCTAGAAGAAACTATGGGCAATACCACATGCCAGGACATAGGCCATGGGCAAGGACTTCATGTCTAAACACCATAAGCAACTGGCAACAAACAGCCAAATGAACCAAATGGGGATCTAGATTAACTAAAGAGCCTTCCTCACAGCAAAAAGAACTACCAATCAGAGTGAACAGGGCCAATCCTAAAAATGGGCAGAACATTTCTGCACTCTACTCATCATGGACAAAGGGCCTAATATCCAGAATCTACCAAATAATTTAAACAAATTTACAGAACACAAACAACCCCATCAAAAGTGGCGCAAAGATGCAGACTTCAAAAAAAAGGGACACTGCATTTATGCCAGCCAACAGGACACATGAAAAAATGCTCATCATCCCACTGGCTCAGTGAAGATGCAAATCAACCCACGAGTATACCATCTCACACCAGTTAGACACTGGGCAATCATTAAAAAGTCACGGAAACAACAGGTGCTGGAGAGGATGTGGAGAAAATAGGAACACTTTTACACTGTTTGGTGGACTGTACAACTAGTTCAACCATTGTGAGACAGTTGGGCGTTCCTCAAAGGAATCTAGAACTAAACATCACCATTTGAACCCTGCCATGCCATTAACTGGCGGATATACCCAAAGATTATAATCATGCTGCTATAAAGATCACACGCCACACAATATGTTTATTGTGGCACCTATTCCACAATAGCAAAAGACTTGGAACCAACCAAAAATGTCCATCTAGTTGACAGACTGGATTAGGAGAAAGTGGCACTATACACCATTGGAAGCTAATGCAGCCATAAAAAAGGTGAGTTCGTGTCCTTTGTATAGGGAGGATTCCCTCTTTTTCTGTTGATTGGAATAATTTCAGAAGGAATGGTACCAGCTCCTCCTTGTACCTCCGGTAGAATTCGGCTGTGAATCCCTCTGGTCCTGGACTTTTTTTGATTGGTAGGCTATTAATTATTGCCTCAATTTCAGAGCCTGTTAACTGGTCTATTCAGAGATTCAGCTTCTTACTGGTTTAGTGTTGGGAGAGTGTATGTGTCCCGGAATTTATCCATTTCTTCTAGATTTTCTAGTGTATTTGCGTAGAGGTGTTTATAGTATTCTCTGATGGTAGTTTGTATTTTTGTGGGGCTGGTGGTGACATCCCCTTTATCATTTTTTATTGCATCTGTTTGATTCTTCTCTCTTTTCTTCTTTATTAGTCTTGCTAGTGGTCTATCAGTTTTGTTGATCTTTTCAAAAAACCACCTCCTGGATTCATTGATGTTTTGAAGGATTTTTTGTGTCTCTATCTCCTTCAGTTCTGCTCTGATCTTAGTTATTTCTTGCCTTCTGCTAGCTTTTGAATGTGTTTGCTCTTGCTTCTCTTGTTCTTTTAATCGTGATGTTAGGGTGTCAGTTTTAGATCTTTCCTGCTTTCTCTTGTGGCCATTTAGTGCTATAAATTTCCCTCTACACAGTGCCTTAAATGTGTCCCAGAGATTCTGGTATATTGTATCTTTGTTCTCATTGATTTCAAAGAACATCTTTATTTCTGCCTTCATTTCGTTATTCATCCAGTAGTTATTCAGGAGCAGGTTGTTCAGTTTCCATGTAGTTGAGTGGTTTTGAGTGAGTATCTTAATCCTGAATTCTAGTTTGATTGCACTGTGGTCTGAGAGACAGTTTGTTATAATATCTGTTCTTTTACATTTGCTGAGGAGTGCCTTACTTCTAACTATGTGGTCAGTTTTGGAATAAGTGCGATGTGCTGAGAAGGATGTATATTCTGTTGATTTGGGGTGGAGAGTTCTGTAGATGTCTATTAGGTCCGCTTGGTGCAGAGTTGAGTTCAATTCCTGGATATCCTTGTTAACTTTCTGTCTCGTTGATTTGTCTAATGTTGACAGCGGGGTGTTAAATTCTCCCATTATTATTGTATGGGAATCTAAGTCTCTTTGTAAGTCTCTAAGGACTTGCTTTATGAATCTAGGTGCCCCTGAATTTGGTGCAGTATATTTAGGATAGTTAGCTCTTTTTGTTGAATTGATCCCTTCACCATTATGTAATGGCCTTCTTGTCTCTTTTGATCTTTGTTGGTTTAAAGTCTGTTTTATCAGAGACTAGGATGCAACCCCTGCCTTTTTTTGTTTTCCATTTGCTTGATAGATCTTCCTCCATCCCTTTATTTTGAGCCTATGTGTGTCTCTATATGTGAGATGGGTCTCCTGGATACAGCAAATTGATGGGTCTTGACTCTTTATCCCATTTGTCAGTCTGTGTCTTTTAATTGGAGCATTAAGCCTGTTTTTATTTAAGGTTAATATTGTTATGTGTGAACTTAATCCTGTTACTATATTAGCTGGTTATTTTGCTTGTTAGTTGATGCAGTTTCTTCCTAGCATCAATGGCCTTTACATTTTGGCATGTTTTTGTAGTGGCTGGTACCGGTTCCTTTCCATTTTTAGTGCTTCCTTCAGGAGCTCTTGTAGGGCAGACCTGGTAGTGACAAAATCTCTCAGCATTTACTTGTCTGTAAAGGATTTTATTTCTCCTTCACTTATGAAACTGAGTTTGGCTGGACATGAAATTCCGGGTTGAAAATTCTTTTCTTTAAGAATGTTGAAAATTGGCCCCCACTCTCTTCTGGCTTGTAGAGTTTCTGCTGAGAGAGCTGCTGTTAGTCTGATGGACTTCCCTTTGTGGGTAAACCGATCTTTCTCTCTGGCTACCCTTAACATTTTTTCCTTCATTTCAACTTTGGTGAATCTGACAGTTATGTGTGTTGGAGTTGCTCTTCTCGAGGAGTATCTTTGTGGCGTTCTCTGTGTTTCCTGAATTTGAATGTTGGTCTGCCTTGCTAGGTCGGGGAAGTTCTCCTGGATAATATCCTGCAAAATGTTTTCCAACTTGG